GGGGGGGGGGAGGGAGAGGGAGAGAGAGAGCGCTGCCATGTGTCAGGCACTGTGTTTGGTAATGGTGATAAAGTCATGAGCCAAAAGTACTCTGAACATGACCTTGGAAGATTTGAAGTCTGGAATATTTGGAGTCTGCAAGAACCTAAATGCAAACTTGACTGTAATAACAAACTGGAAAATATTATTAGGTATTTACATTATTTGGAAAACATAAATGCTTTTTATTTTCCAGATGAATGAAAGAATGGATGGCAATTATTGATAATGATTAGATACCAGAAAATTAAGTATTATCAAGCTGGGAAGAGAGAGAATGTTTATAAAGAGGATGTATGTGAGCCTGAATTTGCATCTATGGAATATGAAAAGCAATTAGAGTTGAAGAAAAACTGAACAGATCAAAGTTAGGACATCTGGAGGTTTTTCTGCATTAGGCAGTCAACAGAATTTAACTCGGATGATTCAAATGAAATGACATCAAAGAAGGGACTGTAGGTGAGTATGAACCAGTGTGTAAGGCAGGGTTAAGGAGCCAACTTGGGATGTTGAGGAAATAGTAAGATGGTATAATCCTAAGCCCAGAGGCAGGGTAGAAGTGTGTTCCTGGATGCCATGGGGAGCTGGAGAGATAGAACAGGGACTGCCAGTGTGGTTCCAGGGCTGGGAGGGAATGAGGAAGAAATCCCCTGGCCTTTTCCTCTTCTCGTCTTCTGCTCACCTGATAACATCTTCCACTGGCTAAACCCAACAGGAAGCAATGAGCAAGGAGTCTTCTGGAGCACAGGACAGAGCATGAGGGGTGGAGAATGGACCTGGGCAGTGGAGGCAAAGGGGCAAAGACCAGCACAGCTGCTAAGGTCAAGCATACCTGGCTAATCGAGACACAGATTAAATAAACAGATTATCAAAGGGAAGACAAAATTAGCAAAAAGGTTGCCTTTTTCCTTGAGTTAATTCAAATGAGTTTTTCTTCCCTGCAAATGATAAATATAAAAGAGTCATGAAATGAGACTGTGTAGGTGCATCTCTACCCAAATAATCACTAAAACTGTTTTCCACTTCACTCTCTCCAGATCTCCTATCTGTCCATTTATGATTAGGATACCTTTACATGCATGAAAGAATATGTGAGGTTCCCTGGGAGTGAGCATCTGGGAATACAATTGGTGAGTAAAGTGGTGTGTATGTGTGTGTGTGTGTGTGTGTGTGTGTGTGTGAGAATGCATGTGTTTGTGTGTTTCTGGGGTTATTGGTACTTTATCCTAATTCTTTCCTTTAGCGTCTTACATAATTTAGAAATTGTATTGACTTTTAAATTTGATGGCAAAACTGAAGTTGTTTTCCAAAGTAAGCCGGGTGATCCAGAATGGGTCCATGCCTCTAAGAGCTTTGTGGGGAAGCAGCATGTGCCTCAGTTGCTGGAAGGCTGTGGCTTACCTAGTTGTAAAAAAAACAAGGTCACAGTGGCCTGCTACTCAGTGTGTGGGGTCCTTGAAAGCAGGCTCCCGTGCCTTGATGATATTTGAGAGGCATTAGGATGCGGTGGCCCTCCCATATTCTGTCATGGTCAGTCTGCCAGATGCCTGGGTGACAATTAGGCACCTTTACATAATTCACTTCCAAGGTACAAGACAAATTCCCACTTTAATAGCATTTTTCAACCACCCTCGTGCCCCAGCTCTATTAGCAGCCCATCCACCGTTGACACTGGAATGTGCTAATAGGTTCCAACAAATGGATTCAGATGTGGGGAACATGAGAAACAACTTTCCCTTTGTTTGGGAGGTTGTCAGAATTCCCCACACATGCTTGCTGCTGACCATTTTCCTGGGAGCTATTTGTGCTGGTAGAGTATCTTACGTGGTGAAAGAAAAACTGTAAGATAGCATCAAGAACAAATAACATAAAGGGAACACATATCCAACAATTTTCAGGGGATGAGAAATTGCAGATGGAAGCCGGGGTTCAGCTCAGGGCTGGAGTTACTTGATATAGGGGGAAAATGTTTGTTGTTCTTAAGCTCTTCAAGACCCAAGAAGCATTTGACCCAGACCTGTAAGTGAGTAAACCATTCCTTAAGCTATTTTCTTTGGAAGGAAGCAATTGGAGCAGGGGAACTAGCAGGCTTGTGAGGACTGGCTGTTCCTTAACCCTTTTGAAGTTCTTGAGAATTATATTTAATGTCATCCTTACAAATGCATCCTTACAAATGATGGCCCCCAAAAATGGTATTCCCCAGTCCCCGAAAAATGGTGATCCCCAGTCCATCCTACCCAAAGTAGATTGGAACTCTGCATTAGTCTCCCAGTCAGCAGTAGGGGTCAGGGTTTCCCAAAGGAGTGAAGAGTTCATGCAGCTGCTAAGTAGGAAATACACTCTTGTTGATATTTGTTAGGTAAGAATGGGAAATGTGTTTACTACCTCAGTGGATAATATGCTCATGAGAGGAGACCTTCAAAAATAGGATTTAAATTCACAGGGGCCTTGCTTGACTGGAAAAGTGACCTGAAACCAAAGTTGAGAAAGAATAGGGCCAGGCCCACGTACTAGGGAGGAAATGTACTCTGTAGCAATCCAAGGCCAAGCAGAGAGCAGAGAGGATGAGTCAGCAATGTCTTCACACTGGGCTGGGCCTCAGCCTCAGATGATACTTTTAGTCACAGTCACTAGGACGTACACTTGAGTTCCCTTCAGGGTTAATGGATTTGCGCTGAAAATCCAAAATCCCAGTTAAGCTTTTTTGGTGACAATGACAAGTCTACTGAAGATAGTAGGTGTGTGTTGGAGGAGGTGGTAACCAAGGTGCAAAAAAAAGACAATGGGTCCCACAGGTCCAAACCTGGGGTGGGGGGGAAATGGAGTAAATATGGGCGTTGGCTCATCCAGGATGGGGATTGGATTTTCCTCTATTACAGTCCAGATCTGTGATCTTCAATTTTTAAAACCCGTTATTTTGGTCTAAGAGTGGAGATGGTCATACTTATTTTATAGGGCTCTTATGAAGATTAATTGAAACGTATATAAGAAAGAGTTTATCACACAGAAAATGGAAAACGGTAGGAAAGTCAGACTTCTTTTCTTTTTTTTTTAATGCCTAAATTCTGATCTTCCCTTGGTACAGAAGCTGGTGGGAACCCCAGGACGAGGGACCCCTAAGGCTGACTTGATTACTCCTTCCTTGACAAGGTGGTCCTTAATGGAGGAGGGCTGTGGAGCCCCTGAGAAGGGAAGAAGGGACCTCAAAAGAAAATCAAGACCCCAGAACAAAGCACCAGGGGAAAGAAAAGCCTACAAGGCTTGTTTAATCTCCTTTAGAGTGTGGAAAGAGCTTTTTCACAGAGGATATGAACTCTTTCTACTCTACCTGGGGCCTGAGCTACAGTGTGCGCCATGCAGGTGAGCCATTAGGAGGACTCTGGCAAGAAAAGAGCCTGATTATCTTTTAATGTTCCTCCCAGCTCCAAGATTCCGAGACTTTGTGAAAATTTAAAAATAAATAGAACATGCCACATGAATTACCTTATTATTTTATTGTTTTAAAGAAGACTTACAACAAGGTACTTGATAAAGTAGAAAAGAGCTTGGGAGTCACACAGAACTGGGCGGGAACTTTAGTCCTGGAACTGACTGGCTAAGTGAGATCAGGTAGGTTACCCCACATAGGCTGCCCCACAGCTGGTCAGGGGTGAGTTTCTCTGCACCCTGCATTCTCTGCTTTTAAGTTGGGGCTAACATCACCCGCTTTGAAGTATTATTATAAGAGAGATAATATTCAAAAGTGTGATTCCAGCATTCAACAGGGTAGTCAGTAAGTGCCAGCTCTTTTCCTCTCACCACCATAACTATTTGTAACTGCAAGAATGTAAGCATAAAAACAGCTAAGGTTTTGTTCTTGTTTGAAAGCATTTGGTGCAATTTGTTTTTCCGCTGATACGAAGAGAATACCAGGAGCACGAAGGTTAACTGATGCCAATGTCTTGTACGAAATCTATGACCCGATAATTTCTTATGTTGTTAAGAAAATGGTGAGAACATTTTCATGAACTATAAGAAAAAAATGCAATTGAATTCCAGGAAAACATTCTCTCTTTTCACTTTTACATTTTGTTGTTTCTTTTATGTGATAGGAAGGGAACAATTTGTATCATAAGAAAATAAAGATGTGGAAATGCAGAATAGGGTCAACAGTATTTCTTTGTCTCTTCTTCTTGTTTTAACCAGTTTCATTGTTTTTTCATTTCAGAAGGGAGTGATGAACTTGGTGGTTCTGCGGAATTTTTATAGATAAGCACAAAGATAGAAATTTTGAATTAAATTGCTCCCTTGCTTGTTTCTCTGCATTGAACAGCATGGCACAGTTCAGAATAAACAGAAGTTATTTTGAGTGTTCTCCAAGAGTGATTTCGGATCCCTGGACATCTTGGAGGGAAACCAGTTTAAGCAAAAGCTACACAAGCAAAGCCAATAGACTCTTGGACTTGCATTTTTGCCCCCAGAACTAAGCAGACTCTTCTCTCTTGGCCTCTGGTTATTCATTCTTTTGTCAGATGAGGGAATAGGACCAGAGGACCTCTAAGATTCCTGCCAGCTGAAAATTCTCTAGAGGATTTATGTTCTACCATCAAAAAAAAAAAAAAAAAAGCTTGTGAATTTTACCAATAAATCCCAAAATGAGCATTTTTAGTTATACTAGAGAAAGAAACCAGACACAACTTAGAACCACCTGTCATTGTAAGGAATTTGCCACTCTGACCTTCTCATTTGGGTTTAACATAAACCACACCACCAGATCATGGGGATGAGACCTGAAAATGTCCTTTGGTCTAGCCTGCTCTCTTGCCAACTCCCTGACAACACTAGGTAGATTTCTCTGCTGTGAACCATGCCTCTGGAATGGAATTTACAACCAGCCCTCCAATGAGCCAGCTCAAATGCCCTCAGACTTTCAGCGGGTCAAATGTTGGGACTGGATTAAAAACTGTCCTTTGCCTAATTTTATACCAAGGCAAGCCTCATCCTTCCCTTTTGCGTCCACTCTCCCTGGCTTCCTTTACTGCCTTGTCTGTTTATTTATGTGCCTGTTTGTCTTAGTAGACTGGAACAGACTTCTACAGAACTGAGCTATTCTTGTACAGGCTTTGGAGTCCACAGTCCTGGTTTTGGGTCCTGATTCTGCTACTTAACACAGTGTGCTTAATAGCAAGTCCTTGTCTTCTCCAAGCATCTTTTCTTTTTAAAATGTGTATCTTTAAAATTTTTTTTTTAGTTGTTGATGGACCTTTATTTATTAATAAGTGGTACTGAGAATCGAACCCAGTGCCTTACACATGCTAGGCAAGCGCTCTAGCACTGAGTCACAACCCCAGCTCTCCAAGTGTGTTTTCTTTGCCCTGACTGTAAATATTTTCCTCTTGAGATTATTGGGATGATGAAATGAAATATCAAATGCAGAGTACTTTGCACTATGTTCGGCATATTGCAAGTGGCCACATGGGGGGTCATTATTATTATTTGTATAGAATAGAATCATGATAGATGTTTGTGAAACAAATACATTAAAAAAAAAGCCATTTCTTCAGAACATTCCAATTAAATTCAGATTATAAGGATGAAGAGGGTGCCATGAGAATTATGGAACAGAGCAGCATTTTCTTGAAAATATGTCTTAGACGGATCTCAGGGTGGGAGACAGACAGCATCTACAGGGCTTTAGGAATGAACTCACCCCTGACCAGCCATGGGGCAAGAACTGGCCTTCCGCCCAGTACTTTCCATTGATGAAGAAGAGGCCTGCGATCATGATGAACACCCACACTGCCAGGTTCAGCACATTGAGCACGTTGTTGAAGCCCACGGAATTCTTCACCCCCAGAGCGACAATGATGGTCACAATGACAGCAATCACCAGAGCCAGAAGGTCTGGGTATGATTCTTCACCTTTCCCTAGAGCAGAGGGACAGGGTTTAGTATTGTCCAGAGGGAAGAAAGGGTCAGGCCAACTCCTGACCCATCCCATGTTCCTGCACTCAGCTCTGTCCCTCCAAGTGATGGTCAGTCTGTAGGGAGGAGAAGGAACTCTGTGTGTGTGAGTGTGTGTGTGTGTGTGTACACATGCCTACGCTGTGGTCTACAAGCAAATATAAGTGTCCATCAGGTAAGATGACCTGATATCCTGGACCCAAAATTGGGATGTGTGATGTGACAGTTACGGCAGTATCTATGGAAACATGGCGCAGAGTATTTGAAATCAGGACAGTCCTAGAACCTTTGGAATATATTTAGAGGTCTAACATGTTCTTTGAAAATGGTTTTATCTTCATGGTGGTTAATTTCCTAGTGTGTAAAATTTCCATTACCTTCCAACAATCTTTTATTAACAAATTAAAAAATTCCTGTCTCTCAGCTATCCTACTCCTCCGTCTATATCCAAAGGACTTAAAAACAGCATACTACAGGGACACAGCCACATCAATGTTTATAGGAGCACAATTCACAATAGCTAAAATGTGGAACCAACCTAGATGCCCTTCAGTAGATGAGTGGATAAAGAAAATGTGGATATATACACAATGGAATATTATTCAGCATTAAAAGAGAATAAAATCATGGCATTTGCAGGTAAATGAATGGAGTTGGAGAATATAATGCTGAGTGAAGTTATCCAGTCCCCCCAAACCAAATGCTGAATGTTTTCTCTGATTTAAGGATGCTGAGTCATAATGGGGGTGGGGGGGTTGATGGGAGAAATAAATGAACTTTAGATAGGGCAAAGAGGAGGGAGGGGCCATGGGGGTAGGAAAGACGTGGAATGAGATGGACACCATTACCCTAAGTACATGTATGAAGACATGAATGGTGTGACTCTACTTTGTGTACAACCAAAAATATGAACAATTGTGCTCTATATGTGTAACACGAATTGTAATGCATTCTGCTGTCATATATAACAAATTTAAAAATATACACTGAAAAAAAATGCATGTCTCTGAAAACAATTTTAAGAGGAATTTTCTTTCGATTCGTGGGGATGTAATTGTAGAGAGAAAATGACCAGCACACAGGACCTGCCTGCTTAGTGTTGCCCATTGGTCAGTGAACTCCTGCCCTCTATAGAGTAGAAAAGGCACTGCTGCTGCAGGCATCTATGGAATATAAATGAATTTTGTGCTTAGATTTGGGTCCTGAATTTTAGCTGTGCTTTGGCCAACAGCCGGTGGTGTGGCGTTGGGCGTGTTGTCTTGTGCTGGACCTCATCTGTAAAGTTTAGGAGATGGATGACTGAATTTTGGGCCATGTCACTCCTAAATTTTCTGAGATCAGTATATGGCACAGGCACAGTCTGCGTACTTTTTATTTTGTCATAGTATCTCGGTGCTCAGCATTTTTGTCAGTTTTTCTGACACTGAATTTAAATGACTTGTCACAGCCACAGACTCATTCCTTGGGAGTTTGGAGGAAAGGCTGCAAGACTTCCTCACTTACAGGTTAATTTCCACAACTTTGAAAGGATGGAAAGTGAGTGGCAGGTGACAGATGGAGCCTGAGGTCTTGTGGTATGCTAGGTGTTTCACTGTCATTCAGCTCTATTACCCTTCCTTGACCTTTGCTAGAATGGAATCCATTTTAAATATTTTATTTTAAATTTGCTTACTTATGAAAATCTGAAAAATATATTCTGATGAAGCTACCAGAGAAGTTCTTTCCAGTTCTTTTTTCTGAGTTTGTTTTGTTTTATATAGTCATTGACATGGTGCATGTATGGTGCTTTTTATATCCCTTTATATGGGGACATTATGTTAAAATATATTTCATATTATTATCACAGGCTTCCTTAATCATCTTTAAAATTGTTATGTGCATAATATGTACAATTTACTTACTTACTTGTTCCATTAAAGAATATTTAGGCTCTTTCTAATTTTTTGATTATTATAGGTTCAGCTTCCCTAATCCAAAATTCCAAAATCTTAAATGCTGAAGAATTTGAAACTTTTTGAGTCCTGACATGATTTTGCCACAGTGGAAAAAATCACACTATGAAACTTTGTTTCATGCATGAATATATTAAAAATATTTAATGAAGCTATCTTTGGGTTATATATATAAGGCATCTATGGAACATAAATGAATTTTGTGCTTAGATTTGGGTCCTGTTGCCAAGATATCTCATTAAGTATTGGCAAATAATCCCAAGTCTGAAAAAATCCATAATTCAAAAAATTCTGATCTCAAGCATTTCAGACAAGAGATAGTCAACCTTCTTAAAAATAAGGCTGTAAAGAACAACTTTTTATATAAAGTGTTCAGGGAAGTTAGAAAAATTTTCTTAGTATGAAGAATTTGCAAAACCAAAAAGAAGCAGGTGAGGTTCTTGATACATTTTGCCAAATTACAGTCTGAAAGAGGAATCCATTTGTTTGGCTCAGTAAATTTGAATGTTGGGGAAAGAGGCTACAGCATTCTCACCCAGTCCATTGAGGGTTCCCACGCTGTTCACCATCCAGCGACTGATGGTGTGGTTTGCCAGTGAGTCAAACATGCTGCTCAGAGCACTGGCGCCAGCTGCAGTGCCAATCAGGTACTCCAGGATCAGGTTCCAGCCAATGAAAAATGCCACAAATTCACCAACAGTGACATAGCTGTAGGTGTAGGCAGATCCTGTGGTTTTGGGCACTCGGACTCCAAACTCTGCGTAGCACACACCTGCAAAGGACAAACACACACAGATGGTGGACTTCAGGAGTGAACTCACTTTTTGGTGGCTAACAATCTTGGGTGGAAGATATTGGGGATCTCTGGGATTTTAGAACAAATACACAAAGTTTTATGTACCAGTCATGTGTCACCTAGTAGGGGGACACTTTCTGAGAAATGTGTTAGGTGATTTTGTTGTACGAACATTAGAGAGCTTATTTTCATGAACCTAGATGGTATAAGCTACTACCTACTGAGGTTATATGACATTTATAAGTATATATATGTCTATATCTATATATGAAATAGCTGGTTTACAAGAGAAAATGATATGATCGAGAGGTGCAGTAAATACAGTATGAGGCTATTGCTCATGTAACACAGCCTACTGTTTTACAGTAACCATTTTTTATAAGTAGAAGGAGTACAGTCTAAAACACAGATAAACGATATGATATATTAAAAACACAAGCTAGTGACATAGTCATTTATTTTAATTACAAAGTATCATGTTCAGTTCATAATCATATGTGCTATATACTTATAAGCTTGGCAGGGCAATAGGTTTGTGTATACCAGTATCCCCACCAACATGTGAGTAAATGTGTTGCACTACAGATATTGAACCATTATGACAACTATGATGTAATTGATTGATAGGAAATATTCGGCTCCATTATAATCTATAACACCCCAGTCATATATGTGCTCTGTCATTCACCAAAACCTCATTATGGGACACATGACTGGACATGAATTAATTCTACACTAATGCTAGCCAATTCCAATCTCATTTCCAAAACACTTTTAAGTGGAATGTCTGGGAAGGCACACTGAACTAATTCTACAGAACTATTAAAAACTGATCTTTATTTAGAAAATTTCCCCTTTGTGTGTTGTCTCTGTTGTATTCCTTAGGTGACAAAAATCCTGAGTTACTTGGACCTAATTCAGTGTGATCTCTCCAATGGCACCAGTGTGCAATAACATTCTTTTTTCTTAAATTTTTTTTTTAGTTGTCAATGGACCTTTATTTTATTTATTTATATGCAGAGCTGAGAATAGAGCCCAGGGCCTCACACATATTAGTCAAGTGCTTTTTACCACTGAGTTACAACCCCAGCCCCCTGCAATAACATTCTTCTCATTCAGTGTTGACATGTTATAGAAGATACTCCTCATTTGAGAGTGATGCTTTAAGCAGCCTGTGAAAATGCTTTACTGTATCAAGGGGGTAAATAAAAATATAGTTATTAATAAGGAAGTTAGCACATGCAGATTATAATTTGACAAACACTTTTGGAGTGCTCAGCAGAGTGTTAAGCACTAGGAATAAGAAATACACATGCTGTGTACCCCAACCTTCAGGGGAAGATATGCCATAAAATCAGTGCACATGGTTGGCTGTACACACCCAACAGTGTGGAAACGCAGGAGAACAACGAGAGCCGAGATGTGAGATGTGTACTCAGTTGTTTGAGGTCTAGGGAGGAATTCATTGGATAAAAAAGAGATAAAGACATGGCAGAGAGAGACAGTGTGAAGCATTTGGGTGGAGGAGCCGTGTACATGGGGTTATCAGGAGATGAGTCTGGAGGGAAGCAGAAGCTGTACATTTTCCAAAGCAGGTTCAGGGCCTCTTTTCATCAGATCATCCACTGAACCCTAATTTCCAGGGGAATTTGCAATTTAACAAGCACCTCAGTAATGCTCTTGTTCACTTACATTTGAAAAATATCAGAACATTTCTTTATTCTTCAATGTGATTAGAGATCAAATTAGAAAAAAAAAAAAAAAAACTGAGCATGCACCAAACTTCTGGAAGCTGGCAACTTCTTTTGGCTGGCTACGAATTCTGGGTGTGGGGTCAGTGGGAGCACAGAGTAGGACAGCTTGGAGAAACACCAGGAGTTGGACAGATGTAGGCCGATGTACGTGGAACTCAAACTTTACCTTCAGTCCCCATTTTATTAAGGGTCAACCCTGAGGTTCTCTCATCACAAACCAGGGAACAATAGTTCACTCTTTTGTGAATAAAGAGAGCAAGTTTCTTCTCCTTTTGAAGGGGGTGAAATCAATGCAAGGAAGTGAAAACAGAGATGTCAAAAGCAGTGACACAATACATGATTCAGTGTGATGTAATCTCTCTTCCTTCCCCTCGGTTGCTGCAGTTGTGAAGATGTCCCTATGGAAGAAATGCTGTACCTGTTAGGCTGGGCTCCTGTCTCCTTGACACCCCTTCAGATTCAGTTTCCTTCTTTGTAAAAGAAAAGTATTATACAAGATGGTGTCATAAGGGTCTCCGAACTCTGACACTCTAGAGTTCTATATGTTGTATTGAATCTTGCTGCAAAATATGCTGAGCATAACTTAACTTTTCTTCTGTTTTTAAGTTAACTCTTATCTATCAATTACTAAATTGTCCTGTATTATGCAGATGCTCTTGGGGATAGTCAAGCCCTTTGTCCCCACATTAAATGGCCCAGGTTGCTATTTAGTTTTAGTTCCTATGTCCTCCCCCAACTTTGAAAAATAACTTTTCTGTTTCCTTCCTTGATGTCAGACTGTCAGTTTTTACTTCTTGTTACTGTTGTGGTGCTTACCTGGAGCAGTCAGACCACCTCTTTTCTAAATTGCTGCTTCTGACACAGGATGTTTAAATTGTTGGAGTGAGTCTAGAATTAAGAGGAAATGGTTTTTGAAGGAAGGCCTGAAGAACTCTGTCATGAGGAAAGTAGAGAGTATGCATTAAGTATGAGGACCTAATGATATTTTCTTGGAAGCCTAGAGACTTTGTGTTAGCTTCTGAGTTCTTGGGTATTGAGTTTGTACATACAGATCGTGTTGATCTACTAGTTATGGGTGAGGAAGTGATTAGGAGGCAACTAATTTCTTTTTTTGATGTAGCTTTATCCAATAATCCCTGTATACCATGAGCTTATTCTCTCTACCCATTTGAACTTCCTAAAAACGTTCAAGGCTCATAAATAGAATTTTTTTTCCAAGTGATGCTTTGAAACAGCATTGATTTGACTGTAGATTTAATTTGGAGAGCCAGTGAGTATTGTGGAGTTTGTGCAATCAAATATTCCCTCCATAATATTTGATCTGCTAAATTAAATGTAAAAACACCCAATTCACCATTAGACCCCACTTGTTGAGGGTAATTTAGTTGAAAGCCAAGTCTTCTATAGGTCTTGGGAAGGGACCAGTCCTTTGCTGTCCTGAGTCAGAGGAAGAGGACCTGACTATGCATGGTTTAAGCAGTCTTTGGAATCTCAGTCATTCATTTCACAAGGTCCTGGGGGAACCTGGTGACTATAGAGTGGGGAGAACAGGGAGAAGGTCAATCAGCCAGTAACCATAGAACACAATTTCTGTTTCAAGAAATTCTTCTTTAGACACATCTTAAGTGATCTTCTAGTGTTTTCAATTCCTTCTGATTTGTTTGTATGCAGGAATCCAGGCTTCCAGTGGGTAGGCACCAGAGATTATCTAACCGGTCATTGAAGCTTAATGGAGAAGTGAAAGTTTACAAGCCCAAATATCCTTGATAAAACTGGAAATTTTGTCAGTCAATCAACCATTTAAAAATAGCTGATGCATGAGAGAGATACATTTAAAAATATCCTTCTAATTTCAATAAAAAATAAAAACTATGGAAAGGGAAACCTGATTTTCTTCTTAGATTACCTAGTAACTGAATGTCCAAGACTAGGTTTCTTACCCCTCTCGTGGGTGAAATGAAGAGACCTACTCGATAAGCTTTAGAATCTCTTCTATAGTGCATCCTCCTTGGGTTTCACAACTAGAGTCAACTTTTATCATCTGGGCCAATGGGGGAAGCCTATAGAAAATACTGCCAAGCTGTTGTTATCACAAAGGCAGAACATTCTGCTAGGAAATCTTTGGGTGCATCTATGATTCTCACAATGATTGTGGTCACTTGTGGCATTAAATGGTCAGGGGCCTGGGCTGCTAGACATTCTGTGAATAATGTCCCAGAGCGTAAAGCACTGTCTTATGTTTTACATGACTTCTGAAGGTTCCAATGGACATTCATTTAAGTAAAAATCTGTTCACGGTTTCTGAACCTGAAAGTATCTCTATTTACATATAAACTTTTTTTTTTTAGCATGGCTTTATATGCATTTTCTAGGACTATAACAGCAGGGTCAATTGAGGGACAGCTGGAACTTATTTTCTTTGGAATTTATCAAGACTTGGTCATCATTTTGGAAAACGACATTGTCAACACAACATCACTCACAGTCTCTGAGCATCACATATACACCCAGGTGAGTGTGCGTTTGTGACAATTGTATTCATAGTGGCTCTACAAATGACTGCAAGCCTCTGACAGCTTCATTATGTCTCCTAATGTACTTGGGACCCAGCGTTCACACAATGAAATAAATATTGTTTTTATTAGAAATTTGCTTATCTTTCATGCTCAGGGCATGATTTTTTTTTTTTTTAAGAATTAAATGGATAGGAACATAGCATTATCTCTAGTTTTCATTCCAGAATACTAAGGGAAGCATTACACAGTGTTTATTAAGAGCTGTTTTAGCTGTACTAGGACAGAGAATCACTATTCTAACTGAGAAATAAATGTATAAAGAATCTTTACTTCGTTTGAGAATACAGTAAAAATATTTTGTCCTAGAGTTATCTTCCTAATCATATGTGCCTTATGTTTTTATCCAAGTGATTTTGCTTTTCTTGATTATCCATCAAATGAGTGGAGAAGAAGAGGCATATTGATTCCACAAGAGGATCACCTTGTAGCTGGAGAAAATCAATATTGAATACAATATTGGGGTGCAGGTGACTGTCAGAAAGTGACTGCATGCTGTAAAACACATGCTGAAAATTTTCTCATTAGAGTTTTTCAGAGCTGGGAACTCCAAGGCAGGCCTGGTAGGGATAAGAGTGATTTCCCACAGTCACAACTTCAACACCTTATCCCATCAGCCTTCCTTTAAGAATACTGTAAACATATCCTG